TCTCACACATTCCATGCTTAGAACATGTTCTGGTATGAGACTTATAGCAATAGTAGACTCAGCAAGACTGTGTGGTGTGAGTAATGCCACTCCTTACGCTGCTGGCATTGTGGTTAAAAGAAAAAAAGACCTTCCCCCTTCTTCCAGGCACTGATTCAAGGTTTTCAGCATCCCCAGATCTTGCTGGCACCAAGTTCAAGGACTAGGGCAGATTCTCTAACCTAAGACTCCATTCCCTATAGTGCAGAATAATAGCAAGCAGCTTACTGCCTCAAATTACTCTTATTTTTAAGACTTTTAAGAAGTAACTATTTACTTCTTAAAGTATCAGCTTGAAGTATCAGCTTCTTTGGAACTTTGTTTTAAATGTGTAGGGATGCTGTTTCTATAAATATTTTTGTTTAGCTGATGATGTGCTTAACAAGGAAGATGTCATACAAAAGTAAAGAATGTTGGCCCTAGCTGGTTTGGCTCAGTGGACAGAGCGTCGGCCTGCAGACTGAAGGGTTTCAGGTTTGATTCCGGGCAAGGGCACATGCCCAGGTTGCGGGCTCGATCCCCAGTAGGGGTGTGCAAGAGACAGCCGATCAAAGATTCTCTCTCATCATTGATGTTTCTATCTCTCTCTCCCTCTCCCTTCTTCTCTGAAATCAATAAAAATATATTAAAACAAACAAAAACAACAAAAACAAAAAAAACCCTTAAAGAATGTTGATCCTTTCCATTCATAGTAAAGCTGCAAAGATTTTATCCTATTTATAGGGTGGTTTCATTCACCTGTTTTATAGCTGGGTCTCTTACAGCATAGAATCATCTAGTTTATTACATACCTGAGCTACTTATGCATGTGTATGCCATATATATATAACTGCATCTATCTATCTATCTATCTATCTATCTATCTATCTATCTATCTACCTATCTATCATCTGAAATGCCTCTCCCTAAGGAGCACAGACCCTTTAAATAGTACTCTGATTGGAATCTAATTAATATTTATAATCAGAGCTAAACACTTCCCTGCGAGATTTAGTAGACAATACTAAAAGTAGGTCACCAGCATCTAAGTCAGCCTTATCCCCTCTTCGCAATCCCTGTCAAATCTCTCTGCCTTCGTTATGTGTAAAGAGTCCTTTATTTGCTTTTACTTTTTTGCTGAGCTCTGAATTCCTTCTGAAATGTGCAAAGTGGGGCCCAGGAAAGAGACCTCTTTAGCTGGGTGCATTACTTCGTAGCCGTCCCAGTTTGGCTTATAAAATAGACTGTAGGTTGTATTTCAATGGCATGCTGATAAATGCTTATAACTATCTCTCTGAAAATATATAAAGAACTGATTTGTAGCTTTTGACAATTTTCATGGCATACCTATTCCACTGTGGCTGATTTCAAACTACGGATGCAGCCTTGAATGCTTAAAGCCACAGGAAAGAAATAGATAACAGGCTTTTTCCTAATCGGGAAAAAAGGTATTAAAAATGACAGGCTAGTTTACCCCTATAGTCATAATCACCTATGGTTAGATAGAACAACTGTCAGCTTTTTATTAAAGTATGCTCTTTTATAAGCTAGAAAACTTTGATCACAGAAACATTCTTACCCTGTAATCCAGTGGCATAGTTATGGACATGATTTATAGAATCCACCTTTGATATATTTTACCAAATACCTTTGATGATTTCTAAAATCAAATATGAGGTGGGGGTCTAACAATAGATAGTGTAAATATGAAAACAAACATAAAAGGCCTAAAGAAATCTCCTATTTCCATGTCCTAGCTTAGAGACATCCTTTTGGATTTGATATGAAAAAGACTTCACAGATTTTATTTGAAGTGTTTGATTTTATACAGCATGGAGGCTAGGCATGTTGGACTAGAGCCCCAGTGAGGGCAGAGAAAAGCAGGGTGACCACGCACAGAGAGGATGGTGTCTGAGAAGTTCAGAGAGACCTATGATTTCCCACAAAAGGGTTTGACCTGTAGATG